CTGGCTCCATCCCCCCCTCTTCGACCTGTTTGTTTCCTCTCCACCTATCTTCTCCTCTATCCATCTTCTATCCGCCTCCCACTCTCTCCCTATTTATTTCAGAACCCCCTTCCCCTCCCCCATTTCTGATGAAGGGTCTAGGCCCGAAACCTTTCTGCTCCTATGATGCTGCTTGGCCTGCTGTGTTCATCTTGTTGTCTCGGATTCTCCAGCATCTGCAGTTCCTACTATCTCTGGTTTGTCTGTGTGTCTGTTTGCTCCTTGTGCCAATGTTCTATTGATCAAGTTATTGTTCTGTCTCTCACTCATACTGCCAACCATTGGAATATTGGAAAGATTTATAGATTAATAATGTGAATGACCTTCCATAGCTACCAAGTCCTGAGGTGAGGCATGAACTTAGCTCTTTAGGCTCACAGATAGGGACACAGCTACCTCACCATAAGATAGCTCCAAGCCACAAAGCCAAACAGAACCATGTTACACTACACCACTATTGAGGCATGCCTACAAATGCTCATTAACTCCTTTTGTAAGATCTGATTCCAATCCCAACCTATCACTTACAGCCTCTTGAAATGTGGCCAATGACTACTACACTGATGTAACCCTTATACCTCATGTTGAGTGACTGTTGTTACATCTCACTGGTTTGAGTTGGGTGATGCCATTGCTCATGGAATGATCCACATAGAACATATGGCCTAATGTTTATGAAGTAACTCAAAAACCCCTGGACATTGCTTGATAAATATGCAAACAAAAACACTTCTAAAAGGTGATGGCAAATTCAGTATCCTTACTTGGTCTACTGCATGTTGTGTAGCTGTTTTAAGGTAGGGTGGCACGTTATATGTAATTGCAGAATAATGAGCGACTTCGGCCCTGTATATATTGCTGCCCAGACTAATACAATTGGCATTTATTGGAAAATACAAATGTTTGATATGAGCACCAGAGGTACACTTTCTTATGGTGTATTTTTAATGTTGGTTTCTATTTCAACTGCAAGTAACCACCTTTGCTAAGCCCCACAAAATTCTTGATTTATTATCTACCCAGGTTTGCATATTGGACAGTTTGCAAGGAATTTCTTTTTTTAAACAAAATAGCCTTGTAAAATACTATAAAAGAGTTTACAGTAAATTGATTCATATGTAAGGAACCCCACAAATTTTTACCTTGTATCAAATACTCTTTAGATTTCTCATATAGAATGGTATACTCTAAGAAATCATTAAAATATACCTTTATCTTAAACATATAAATACATTATTAAGATATTATTGCACATTATACTACAATGTTATTACACGAACATTAGGACCAATGAGATCTTAATATTGGTCTTATTTAACATTATATTACTATTACGTTAAACCCATGTCTGTCTAACCAATCCTAGAGTATAAAAATAATCATGCAATGGCATTTTATTCTGTCACCAAACACAGTAAAGCACAAAGCATGTTATCACCAGGAAGCTTCATGCATCAACAAAAGCAATTTACATTTATGTTGCATTTCTAATACAATTAAACATTCTATACTACTTAACAGCAACTTTGTCAGACAAAACTTTGTGTTGAGCCGCCAAGGAAACATATTGAGGCAGGTGATCAAAGTGGTAGGTTTTAAATAGCGTCTCAAAATAGGAGAGAAATGTGTAGAGGTTTAGGGATGGAATACCCTAAGATTTAGGTTTCGTCAGTTTTAGAGAATGGTTTGTGTGTTGGTGTTTGCCCGTTGCACTAATGTTTTAAATATTGTATCAATCTAGTATGCGTATATGCATGGAAAAACTCAGCTGGTCTGGTAGCATCTGTGGAGAGAAAGCAGAGTTAATGTTTCGGGACCAACATTTTGGCTGCCAGATCTGCTGAGTTTTTCCAGCAATTTCTGTTTTTGTTTCTGATATCCAGCATCTGCAGTTCTTTCGGGTTTTTTTGTATGTATATATACATGCTCAATTTGTGATTAAGAGCAGCTAAGGAATGATTAGGCCATAGTTAAGAATCATTTTTCACCTGAGAAGGGATGGTCTGTGGAAGGGAAATGTAGTCTGTACTTATGCAGAACATAGTATTGAGAATAAACATACATGGTAGACAGGCTGTCATCCTTTTGCTAGGTGGATGTTTAGGAAATTAATGGCCACTGTACTTCCACCTGAATCTGCTTCACAGATTCCCCTTGGTTTTACATAGATTCAAATTCCTCAGCCACAATAAAGTCTGTCATGATTGGGAAGGTTGATTGCAGGTGTCTCTGTCTCTCTCTATCTATCTCTCTCTCTATCTATTAATACTCCTGGCACATACTAATGGTCTGGTAGATATGGATACTTCCTGTGCTTTAGCAATATAGTGCTTTATGATGGTTTGCAGAGGCCAATAAGACTGCGCTGAATTGATACTGGCGAGTACATAACCTCATCATGGGCTTTATGAGAGCTGATACAATGCATGCTAATTCAGAGACAAAATAGGGGAGAAAGTATACGCTTTGTTGAAGGGATTCTGCATAACAAAATTGACTTCAATTGCTACATCATTTTATTAGTCATCCTCCTATTTTAGAATTGTGTTGATATTCTGGGGAAGCAATACGTTATTTTGTGTGGTTTGGCAGTCAGTCACATACAACAGGTAATCACAAACAGTAACGTGATCATGATCGAATCATATGTTCTATTGATTACAGAAACAACAAGTACTGGAGATATTCAGCAGGTTGGGCAGCATCTGTAGAAAGAGGAACAAAGAGGAAGTTTTAAGCTGATGACTTCTTATGCTCTCATGAATTTGGTTGAGGGATGGGCCAGGAAGGAATGGTGACAGCATTGGAGTAGTGCCGTTAGTAGAGAGGTAGAGTTGTTGTCAACTGACTATGTGCTTTCAGTTGAGGTTGGTTCGGGGACATATGAAAGGAGAACCTTGAAGTTCCTTTGAAGTGAGGAAACTGATTGATTGCCTCTAGGTCCTCACTCTAACAATAAATTGGAGACTTGGTCACACCAGAAATGTTTATGGACAGTGGAAGAGCAGCTTTTTGAGATATATGAATGCAGTACTGGGAATGCAAAGCCACACAATGGCAGAGAATGGGGTGGCCAACAATGTTTAAGACACCTGTAACACTTACATCACCATAAAAATCAAAAAGGAACATGGGAAGTAGGAGCAGGAGTAGGCCATTCAGCCCATTGAGCTTGCTGTGCCATTTAAGTTAACCGTAGCTGATCTCCTACCTCAATGGCATTCTCCCATGTTATCCCCATATTCCCTGATGTCTTTAAATTCCTTTAATATCTAGAAAACCCCATTTCCTAGTTTGATTGTGCTAATGTCAGTGGCTGTTATGAATGTTTGATTGTTAGCCAGTTTGCTGCGCAAATTAGACTTTGATCATTTGGTTGTGCTCTAGTGCTGTTCTTTGGATTTTAGTACAAGCTCAAACCCGACTTCTAAGTAAATGTTAAACTATGTTTGTTATTATACTGTACATGATGGTAAGACTACAGTGCAACGTGCTTCATACTGTGTTCGCGAACATACGAATTAGGACAGGAGTCTGCTGTGCCATTCAACAAGGACATGGTTGATCTGATTATGGCCTCAGCTTCGCATTCTTGCCAACCCCTTGACCTTCTTGTTAGCACAGGTCCAACCTCTATGCAGAATACTAACCCGTGATGTCTGAGGTCACAGTAATATCGTAGCTTGTCTCAGAGGCCCATCTATATAGTTACTAACCCTATCTCTACTACTGATGCAAATTAATGAAGCTGAATTTTGTTCTGAGGAGGACTTCCATTCAATTGCCTCATGCTTTTTCAAATATTTAAGCCAGGCTGTGATCTGCAGAGTAAAATGTTAGCAATACTAATTTCACTAAAGGATTTCTGAATGAGTGGTACAAGTGGGCATTCTATCCCGCCAGTGTGAAAATGCCCTATTTATGCTCACTCTCTGTTTTTCACCAATCCTTTGTCCATGCTGGTATATTACCCCCAATTTTATCAGCTGTTTCCTTGAGTATTACCCTTTTGTGTAATACTTTATTGGATGCCTTTTGAAAACCCAGCTATATTACAACTATGGGTTTCCCCAATACTTACCTTACCAGTTACATCTTTAAAAAACTCCAATAAATTTGTCAAACAGGATTTTCCTTTCGTAAAGCCTTGTTGACGTCTTCTAGTTCATAGAATCCCTACAGCATGGAATCAGGCCATTTGGCCCATTGAGTCACACCATGCCTCCGAAGAGCATCCCACCCAGTTTCACCCCCCCTACCTTACCCCTGAAACCTTGCATTTCCCATGGCTAATAAACCTAACCTGCACATCTTTGGACTGTGGGAGGAAAGTGGAGCACCTGGAGGAAACCCAAACAGACACGGGAGAATGTGCAATCTCCACACAGATAGTCTCCGAGTGTGGAATCAAACCTGCGTTCTTAGCACTGTGAGCCACCATGCCACCCATGATTG